ATTTGAATAAAATTTATTAAATAGTTGGCTTAAAAAATATTTTTTTTTACTGTACTAAATTTAGTACAAATGTGAAACGGATAGCCATTAATGAAATTGAATTAACAATGCTGTAATAGGATAAAACTGTATCTGAAAATAAAATGACCATCAACACTCCACAAGCGACATTGAAAAGAATGATCGAATATGTTGGTTCACACAATGTCAATGAAATTTGGTCTGTGAATGTTGGAAACTCGTTGCAAACTAAACACTATGTTGTTTTGTTACAAAATCGAGGTCACCTCTGTTCTTGTCTTTCTATAATTCAACATGGAATCGTTTGTAGACATTTTTTCCAAGTGATGTTAGCTACAAAGAATGCATATTTCCATGTTAGGTTAATTCCAACTCGATGGTACAGCGAAAATAAAGATGGTCCAGAGAGAGCTATTCTTGCATGCAGATAAATTTGAAGATGATCAAAACGTAATGATAACACAGGATTTAAGTAGTACAGTAACATATTTGTGCACTTTTGATCAAGGTGGGAAAGATTTCCGTGAAGGTAATCTAACTATTCTTGAACAAAAGGCTGTTTATGGAGAGTTGCATAGTATTTATAAAAAAGCCCTTAATAAGGTGCTTCAAGATGATTTGAAATCACAGCAACTTATCAGCCTTCTTCAAGATTTTGTTGAAGATATTAGTGAGTAGTCAGATTCAAGCGAAAGTTCACAAATTGATGATGATAATAACAAAGATTCTAAGATACCTAAGCTGAAAAATCCAAAGAAACATCGTGGAAGAGGACAACCTCTTGGTACTAAAAGACTTAAGTCTTCACATGAGAGTCAAGGAGTTAAAATTAAACGTCAACGTCGATGCAAGAAATGTGGCAATACGGGCCATTATCAAAAAAATTGCAAGGTAAACTGATTATTTCTGCATTTATTATTGCCATTATCTCTCATTTACTGTACTTATATATATTTATATTACTGGATCCGAAAATAATACCCGAGCATATTGCTATGACAAATTTAGCATAGCAATCATATAGTATCGGTTCTATAGCGAATCTTCTATAGAATATTTAAAGTCTGTTAAATGTTATTATGTTATGTTGAAAATCGTAATCAATGCTATACGAATGTTGCATTAAATTGTCAAAGCAATATGCTTGAATTATTTTCGGATCAAAATACTGGATTATGAATTTCTACTACATAACACAGACATAAATTTGCAAGTAAAATTAGGATACATTTATTGCAATTTATTGTGAGCAATATCGAGTTATATATGCATTATAATAAGTGTCAAAACGAATTAGTTGAATATTATTTTCCCTTGATGGGAGCTTTCATTTATCACTATAGCGTTGTATCGCCTGCCAATAAAATCAATAATTTATAAGCATCATTGCAGGTTATTCAAGCTTCTGTATATAGGATTTATTAGAGTAGCGGCATATCGCTACAGCGATAAATTATAAAATGTGCATTGCTTTTTTTTTAAATTATAATACAATGACAATCACATGATAGGGACTAGCGATGTATCGCTACAGCGGTAAATTACAAAGTCCTAATTTAAAATACAGTCTTAAATATACAGTAGAAATTACTAAGTTATGACGATTATTGTTATTATATTAAGCTTCAATTTAATCGAAATAAATTTTTTTTAATATCTTTGAAATATTCAAATATTGCAAAAGTTATCGATATAATTTCCTTATTAATGGTCGAAATTATACCATGGCACAAAGATATTATTTCATAGTCATTGGCGCTCCTCTTTTTTAAAAGGTTGATTTTTTGCGCAAACGCCATGTTGCATCTGTTAGTATGATAACGTACATATAATTAATAGACTGTAAAATTCCATATCCCATCTTAATGGTTAGGATTAGGGAAAAATTTCTAATGTCCTTTTTTTCGTGTTAGATTTAGATAAGGCTATAGAAAAATAGCCTTTTTCAAAAATTTTTTCTTCTAAAACCATACATACTAGCTACTTTACTATACTCTGAAAGTGCAATTGAAATCATTGAGCGGCTGTCAAAAATATTAAGTGAGTATATATGAATGCCATTTAAGATTTAATGATTTCAACGCAATAAATGTTAAGATTTTATATAGGTGAATACTCTTATTTCTAAGTTGTCCGACTATTAACGAAATTGTTAAATCCAAAAAAAAAAAAAAGCGAATGGGAGGCATTTATTAGAAATAATTTAATGAGTTTCTTTTTGCGATTCAAATAATGTAATAAATAATTTGGGCAAATAATTTGTTCGAATAGTAGTGATTAATATGTATATATGTCTATGTAGATTTTCGATATAATTTTGCATAGCGTAAGAGGAAATATGGACTTATCATTCTTGTAGTTTTGAAATGGAACCTTTGTTCGGAGGGAGAAATTTAAACCGATGCGTAACTTTTTTTGGGTATATCGATGATAATAACGCTTTTAAAAATGATATATTGTATATAAATATGTCATACTAATACTAGAACTTTAAAAAAATTTATCGTAACTTGAATAGCTTACACACACAAAATATAATGATAATCAATTTGTGTTTTCTTCGATCTGCATTGTAATTGTTCCTGTGATCTTGTAGTTTAAGTACTTGGTGTGATAAGCAGAGTACCTCATGGTGGTACCTTTTTCTTGTAAATCACAAGATGTCTTATAATGCTCATTGAGATGACTCCACGCTTCTAGATTATTTTGTTCAATCGCTTTTTTGAACCAACGGTAAGCTTCTTTTAAGTCTTTTTTTCGACCCCATGCTTTTTCACAAAATATACCCGCTTTAAATTGCGCACGTGCATGTCCAGATTCTGCCGCATTTTTATATACCAAATACGCTTTAACTAGATCTTTTTCAATACCTAGCCCGCATTCTAGCATCACTCCATATCTAAATTTATTTTCCAAATTTGAAGAATCTTGAGAAAAATATTCAACAAATGGAATCAGTTCTTCTTGTTTTAACTCTACTTTATTTTTTTTGCATTTCATAAACCAACTAAACGCCTTCTTCATGTCTCTATCGATACCATTTCCTGTAAGGAAGTAAATAGCAACATTCTTCATGGCTTCGGGATCTCCATCTATGGCTTTTTTATAATATTCGCCAAATACATCTACTGCATTATCGATTAACACAAAAAATAATGTAACAATTTATATTTGCATAAATGTAATTGTTAAGTATTAATATCGAAACTTACCTTCTTTGCCACCATTTTTCATTTCATTTTTCATTTCTGAATAAACGTTTTTATTTTCATCATTTTCTATACCATAAATTGCGTCACCATTTTTCATGAAGTTAACTACATCATTTTCTATAACATGAATTATTGCTGATTAAATTATTTCCTGGGAGATAAAGCAATATCATAATACTTAAAATCGGTCATACCTGGATCCACTATCATATCATTTTGTGACTTTTCAATTGTCTCTTCAGTCTCTTTATTCATGTAAGATAAAAGTCTTTTTTTGTCATTAAACTGGTGCATTTTATTTAATTTCCAATTAATGATTTCATTTGCTAGTGACAATGCATTTGGACGATTGGAAGGTTCCTTATCACAACATGAGTGTATCATATTATGATAAAATGATGGGATTGATTCATCAAAAAAGGGCTTATCATTATTATTGTTATTATAAATATGTCTTCCTGTTGCAATTTCGATTAATATTATTCCAAATGCATAGATGTCTGATGCATAAGAATATTTTCTTTCTTTCAATACTTCAGGCGCCATATATGGTAATACGCCGATCAATTTGCTGTTATCATCCATTAACATATCTATCTCCTGGCTTAACCCAAAATCACCAATATATGAACAAGACGAATCTAGAAAAATATTGCCAGGATGAATATCTCTATGAATTATACCTCTATCATGTATTTGATGCAAGCCTGCTGAAATATCTAAAATAATTGATAATCTCTCTTTCCATGTAATTGAAGTGAAATTTCTTTTAAGATATTCATCAAGATTAGACTTATTAGCATAATGTAAAACCATTTTTAAGTCATCAGATTTATGACCACATGCTATACCATAGAAATCTATTATTCCCCATGAACCGTTTATTTTTGTGTGATTTTTCATCTAACAGATCAATTCATAGAGTTAAAAAAAAATAAAAACGTTAAAAAAAGTTCTTTCTAAAAAATTTTTACCTCTCTTAAAAAGTTTTTCAAGTTAGCATCTTCGTGTATGTTCAGACATTCTTTCAAAGCCACCTTAGTTATTGTTCTCTGCCAATGAAAGTGGTGCTTATCTGATGTTTGTATTATTGATGATGGATTTAACCATGTGGCAGAGAATACTGAAGCAAATCCTCCTTTTCCAATTAATTTAACATCATTCAAAGAGTTAGGTGGGATCCATTGGAGTGGTAAGGAAGATCTAATGTCATTTTGACTTTCTTCTATCAATTCATCCAACTCTTGGATAATTTCAATGTTTGAGGTGTATTCAATGGCTATACTTTTATCATCGTTTTCCTTTAAATCGTTTGAAACACTTCTCATTGTAAAAGCATCTATACCTATCCATGAGTCGTTTAACAAACATTTAAATGATCCTCTCAAATGAGGTTTCTTTGCAAGTAAGCGATGTAGAATAGTTGAACATTCTTTGCTGATTTCTTTTTCTAGTACTAACATTCTGGCTATTGTATCAAATGGCTTTTTAAAAGGAACATCAGCATGAATCATAGTATAAAGTAGAATGCCCAAAGACCAAATATCAGAAAATTCTGAATTATAATTATGTCCAGAAATCATTTCGGGGGAAGCATCTATATATTTTAAAGCAAAAAAAAAAGCATAATTAATGTTTATAAGCAAAAGTCATAAAATTTGAATAAAATTAACCCACATGAAATAATGTAATCGCCTTCATTTTGAATATCATAAACCAGATCATCTGAATTGGACATAATATTCTCCAAATTAAAAAGCTTAATCTGTAATGAGTTTATGACATATTTAATAATATTTAATGATAATAATACAAAAATTTCGTCAGTTATAATTTATTTACCCGAAATTCAGAGATCAAAATATTCCTATCATTTATTTTGATATTATAGAATCCATGCTTGTATATGAAAGAAATACATTCAATAACTTGGTTAAATATATTTTTTGCTTGATTTTCAGAAAGGGCACCATTATATTTAAGGTAATGATGAAGAGTTTGCCAGTTTGTTGATCGGTTATTATTATCCAATTCAGTTATCAAAAAGTAGGTAGTTTCTGCTTCTAATATATTTACATATTTTACCAAATTCTTATGATTAACTTCTTGCATGAAATACGCTTCAAACGGAATATCAACATCACGATATTGAATCATGCATGGCAATCTTCTTTTGATAATATGCTTGATTGCTAATTGCGAATTATCAGTTTCTGATATTGCAATTGTCCAATAACCAAAGTTGCTAGAATATAAATATTCGCTGTGCTTTACTGGAAATTCTACATTCAAATCGTTTAGATAAATATTTTTATAACAATTAAAATCAATAATCTGATCGTAATCACTGATATCAAGCTTATGTCCAAACAAATTGTATGTAACTAGCTTTTCTCCAAAATCGACCTTAAAGGTCGTTTTTTCAGGAGGATAAACAATGCAAATATTAATATAAGACGGAAGAGTCTTGGTCTGATCCATTTTAAGTGCCGTAATCTTTAATTCCAAAACACCTTTGGACCATCTAATTAACTTAAAGTACTGTTTTGGTGGATTGTTTGAGGGTGGATGTAATGCAGTAAATGAAGCAATACAATTCTTGGCCAACGTAAATGGTAAAGGTATGTAAATTATGTCGTCATAGCACGATGTAAAGTCAACAGGTGCTTTATGAAAAGCGATTTTAGTTTCTCGATGATTTATACTGGAAGCTCCCACCAAAGAAAGTTTCCCGGTAATCATCCAGATTATATGCCTAAGTAGAGTATTATTATACTTAAAGATTTAACTTGAATGTGCTATATTACTTAATTATGCACTGCAATTTTTATTATGATGAAAAAATATACAAACCATCCCTTAACTTTCTTTGCTATGCTATCTTCAACAGTAACAAACGCAGAAAATCCATAGCAGTCGAATAAATCAAATTTTACTACACATCTTTCTGTTCTTATATCTTCATTGTCAAGAACAATACCAAAGACGTCATAAGAACTACTATCTAATACTGATTGGCCATCAAAATTAATACGGACATATGCCTGTGTAGAATTGTCATCCACATCGAAGGTTTTTACTCCTGTCAATAATATTCTGAAATTTAATCGATTCTCTAAAATAATTTCTATTTCGTTCTGCAATTTATAATTTAGGATTTTATATAACGGAGTGATTTGATCAATCCTAATAAGTTGTAACTGCTCATCATTATTTTCAACATCACTAAACCAATTAAATACTTGATTCATCATTACGACCTGTCCATTTGATGTCAATAAATAATTAAGATCGAAATCTTTTGTGTACTCGAGAATTTTATCGATATTTGCCTGCGATGATGCTACAAATTTCTTTTTAATTAAAGCATTATTTGATGTGCCTTTCAGTATTTCTCTAAGTTGATTTCCTAAAACAATTGACTTTGGTAAAAAATGACCAAATTCATTAAACACCTCTTGAAGTGCTTGATATGGATGAATACTTCTAACTGCGTTTTCGACAGCTTTCTTAAAGACCGGCAAAGGTACGACGCATTGGTCAAGAGATATTTCAATCTTTTCATTAAGTAAAAATAAGTATACCTTATCAATTGGTGTTGTTGAATTATATTCTACAAATGGAATCGAACTTAATTTATGAGTGATATTATTTCGTAAAAGAATCTCTTCTATGCGAGTTTCAGGTTGAATAAGATGCAAATAATAATTGTTTCTTTTGAAAACAAATGGGCTTCGTGCAAATGTAAATGCCTGACTTTTTGCTAAAGAGATTCCAAATTGATCTATCAACATTCCACATCGGAGTGAGAACTTGCTAATCCATGTAAGTAATTTCCTTAAGGGTATTTCATCAATCCAATCCTTTAAAGTAATTTCTTGGTGTTTGTTAGAGATTCCTGGAACCAACCGATTAATAAACGTATCAGTATTAATATATTCTACTTTTTCTAGAAATGTAAGTATTGGAATAATTTCTTCATAGGAAATTATTTCAGCCGCATTTTCTTCATATAATCGCCTAATCCACTTTGTTAGGTCTTTTGGAGTTTTTAAAAAGCTTTTATTTGTTGTCTCAATAATAGGAAAATCGAAAAATGTTACATTCTCAAATGAATTCTCTATTTGTGAATGATATGAATCAAGCGCCCATGCCAGGTGTGTTTTTAAGTGTTCAATTTGCACAGGTTTGGCATCAGCAATATTTCTGATAATCAATTTTCCTCCAGCAAGTAATTTTTTAGCAAAAAAGTACCCATATTCGGCATAATTATCCGTTATAAAGGACTCTTTTTCACTATTTAAATCAGATTTAAAAACTTTATTTATTGGCCCATAATAAGTGATCTCTGCAATTGGGAATAAAAGACATATATCAGTTTCAGAAATATCATTAATAGGGGTTTCTTTTGTTGATGGAAACTCAGAATAATTGTCTCGTAATTTATCCCAGAATGATTTTGGTTTATCTGAACTGTCACCAACTACTGCATACACTAACGGCTCTCTTGAATATGCAACAATATCTAATTTTCCATTATAGCCTAAAATTTTTTCATTACTTGGAATAAAATTGTTGCCAGCAAGATACAACCCATGATTTAATTTCCATTCCTTCACTAATTTCTGATCCGCTGATGAATCATCAAATTTTTCTTGTACATATTTTGATTTATTTTGTGTATAGTAAGACTTAGCTTGTGCAGAGTATGACCTAGTCGAGTCTTCTAGCATTCCAGGGGTTGTTAAATTATAATTCTTATTAACAAATGATAATATTTTAAGATTCACCGGCTGAACTTATATATAAAGAATGTCTTATATACCTGATTGTGACGAAAGCTGATTTAAAGTTTCAAGAACAGACATTATAGATGGACGCCTTTCAGGATCTTCATCCCAACATAATTTATAAAGCTGTTCATATTTAGACGGAGTACCCTTGATAGGTGTTTCTCTAGTTCCATTAAACACATGAATATAGATCGCATATTCATTTTGAATGGATTGGAATGGTGGTCGTCCACTAGAGATTACCCAAAGAATAAAACCCAAGCAATATATGTCTGATCTCATATCACGATCATATGTGTGATCTTTAAGACATTGGGGCTCAGTGTATGCTGGCATAATCAGAGTTTTTCCAGTTGAATACGGTATATTGCCGGGTGTATCAAAACCTACAATTAACATCTTTTCTTCGCAAACCCAGATGTTCCTATGATGCTACAGGTATGATAAATTATCGATAAGTAGTCATGTATATACATGATAATGAATATAATTCATAATTTAACTATTCTTACTAGGTCGAGATGAGCAAAACTACTATCATGAAAGTATTTGAGCCCTTCTGCGATTTCTATAGCCATACAAATTTTTTTAGTCCATTGTAATTCAGAATTCTTTACCAAATAATCACACAAATTTCCCCCATCAGCGAATTGCAAAATCATAGTGTAATATTCTCTGTAAGAAGGTTCTATTTTTTTAAAAAATAAAAAACAATTATTCAATGCCAATAAGTATATCTTTTCTTTCAGTTATGACTATTTAAAGATACCTCGTGTCATCCCGTAAAATTGAACAATATTTGGATGACTTTCGATGTTTTGTAAAAATTTGAACTATAGTATAAGGTTTAAATTCTAATTAATACTTGAAATGAATATAAAAATAGATAATAAAAGGAACAAATACCTTTTTAATTGTCCTTTCATCAAAATATCTATGATTAACTTTAATACATTTAAGAGCAACGGTTAAGTTTTTTGATTCCCATTTAGCCTTATGTACTGAACTAAATTCTTCGTAGCCAATCATTGTAAGATCAGTAAATTGATTATAATTATAGAAATTTATAATATCTTCTGAAATAGCTTTTTCAAGCAACCCTTCCGAATGGTTTTCCATGTTTGCATGAGTATTCATTGGTTTGTCTGTGCGTGGATAAAAAAAATCAAGGAGTTCACCTACTTTTGGACGGTTTGTTGGCTCATCATCCCAACATCGTTTATAAAGGGCAACATATTCAGGCGGTGTACCCTCTACAGGCTTTTCCCTTTCACCATTATATATTTTAATGGCAATTTGTATTCTCTTTAACGATAGAAAAGGTTTATGACCACTTGAAATTTCCCAAAGAATAACCCCATAACTATAGATATCTGATGTGATATTACGTCTGTATGTTGGAGTTTTAAAGCATTGTGGATCTATAAATGATGGCATTCCGTCAACAGCCGAGTTTGAACTTGATGATTCAGAAGTCGTTAATTTTGATAAAGCAAAATCTGTGATCATCATCTTATTTTCGTGAACCAGAATATTTTTTGTATGCTATAAAGTAGAAAAAAAAAAAGTTAAATATTTAAATATAAACATTTAAATATTAACAATCTAAAATAAATATCCTTACAAGGTTTCTATGAATTACTCTATTATTGTGTAAGAATGCGAGGCCTTGTGTTATTTCTCCTGCAATACGATACTTATCTTCCCATGTTAAAATTTTAAAATTTTTATTTAAATATTCACGCAAATCTCCGTTGTCAGCATATTGTAAGACCATCATATAACTTCCAACAGAATCTATATACAAATACAAGAAAACAAGGGTTTCAAATCATACTATAGTTAACTTGTTTAATTATACATTAATGAATTACCAACCTTTAGTTACACCGTAGAAGTGATTTATTTTAGGATGAAAACTTACACTTTGTAATAATTGAAGCTTATCGTTATATACATATAAAATAATTTAAATAATCAATAAAATTTAAGGATAAATTTCCAATAATAATATATGTTAATCATACCTCTTTTATAAATGATTTAAACGAATCTGTGTCCTTTCCGTCTAAATCAATTTTTAGACTTTTAAGGGCGACTACAAGTCCAAATTTGGTCCATTCTGATTTGCGTACTCGTACTAAAGTTCCATTATTTTCAATTTTCTCGCTGCAGTTGAATTCATCATAGTTAAAATAATTAATAAGTTTATCATAGATAGCACGTTGAAGCCATTTACGCCCTTCAGTTTCTTTAAAAGTGCCAGCCAATTTATGAGCATCAGTTTCTTTTGAAGAGTTTGCCAAACTATGCACATCAGTTTCTTTTGTAGAGCTTTCCAATTTACGCGCATCAGTTTCTTCAGAAGAGCTTGCCAATTTATGCGCATCAGTTTCTTCTGAAGAGCTCGCCATGTTCAAAACCTAAGACATAAAAACATTACAGTATTTGAATTTTATACGTACGTACGTACGTACTTGCGTGCGTTTTATGTAACTCAAAATTAATTTCACATACCATTCGATTTTCCTAAATAGGTTTCGATCAAAGAAGTTTCTAAATTTAACCCTATTACGTATTTTTATCCAAATTTGATAACAACATGTGTTTGTATTCAATTATTGAAATTTTTACGTCTTATGCCTCGAATTTAAACTAGAGAATTCTTTGCATAAGTTTGCGTTTGAAAATAGAAATTACATCATAGTTTATCTATTCGTTAATTATGTATGTCTTCAATGGCAACAATTGGCAACCACATGAAGTAAGCATTGAGCACTTAAGGAAGCTGACAAATATTAGGTAATTTAGCCCTCATTTGACAATATAATTTAATTGCCAAAATTGATATGTCGTACTAAAATTGCATTGTTAAATGAATGTTCCTTGGAACTGTAATCATATAATATTTGTCAGCTCCCTAAGATTTGGCATTAAGAGTGAATGCGCATTTTAAAATTGTTCATATTGTTCGCTACACTGTCTTTCAAGTAATCTGAGAATGAAGTATTAGTGTTGCCATCGGTTGAGAGAGCAATGCACGTACAACACGTATGTTGTGAGATGGAAAATGTGTTACCGAGGTGCTCGATTTGATTCTGCTAGATCTGTATGTATATATGCATATATGGTTGATAAGGAAGAGAAGGCAGATAGGCCATACATATATTACAGACATTAGGGATGTTATCCTGCTTATCCAAACTCAGTTCGAAACAAAACATGTCAACGTTAAGACGAGTTTTTGAAATCATTATAAAATTAAAAAAACATATTTGAATTGATTCAAACCAGTTTTTGACAAAAGTTTTTTGATTGTATTTTTTTAAAGTTAAATTTCCACAACACGAAAATGTTTCTTTTTTTTTTAAAAAAAAAAAATTGTAATTCTGGCTTTTTTTAATTGTCTTATTGTTATTTATTTTTATTAGACAGCGATATAACAATATGAATAAATGCATTTAACAACCCCTTAGAATGGTTTATTTAATACATATGAATTTTAGGCACAATAAAATGTTGAACCTATATCACATGGATATGATATTGAAAATAAATCAATATGTAATTTTATGTATTATACGAGAACATAACTACGTACTAGTACATACATTTGTATAAGCTATGTACCTTCGTCGTTTCCTTCTTTCCTTCTTTCCTAATTTAGGAAGTTTTTCCGGAATTACTTATTTCCCGGTATCCCGATTCAAACCTTATCCTTATACGTATGAGGGACGGGATTTTTAATTTACACCTTTTAGACAATCTCCATATTTAGTTATTCATATAAGATAACCTTCGCTTCTCCATTATTGTCTGTGTGATGTGTTACGTAGTACGTACGTACTGTACGTCATCAGGAATATAAATGATTACTAAATATCAGTGATTATAATCAATTATAATTTATACATTAAAATTATAATCTATTAAATGACTATCAATTTTTATCTATACTACAATCTGTCTTCAAAAAGATGTGACCTCTGCAGATCATGATATGTTCTGGCTGATTTTGATTCCGAAAATTTTAAAAGCTTCCAATAAATATAAACGTTACTAATTGAAAAACGGAAAATTTAAAATTTCGGAAATTTCCCGCTATCATCCCGAAAATCACAAGGTCGCGAATTTTTTTTGCAAAGCACAATAACTTAAATAAAAGCTCTCAAAATTTCCCAATATATTCGATTCTGCAGTAATATCTCTAGTATACTAGAACTGGTAGTTAGTTTGCAAAATAATATCGAAAATTCTCATTAAAAAAAACCGGAAATTTTGGCCAAAAAAACTAACCATCAACTCTACTATACTTCTAGAAAAGCTAATTAGATCATTCATTAAAAAGTGCATTGAGAATCAATTAACTTGAAAAGCGCTGTAACCTTTTTAACAAGTTCAGATCATATTATATGCAATAATTTCGTTCAAATCTGACAGAATGAATACTGTAAGAGCATTCAAATGACCATCTAAATAAATATTTTTTTTGGATTCTCTTAACGTACTCTATAACGATCAGAGCCATTTTTTTTATCATTTTACTAATATCAACTGGAATTCAATAATTTGTACAAAAATGAAAAAAATTGCATAGTTGTTAAGAGGAATCCATATATATATTTATATATTTATTTGTATAAATATACTGTAATGGTTTAAAAGTAGTTAGGATTTAAAGTTATTTGTCGTCACGACTATCAAATTTTACGCTTACCGGTTGACGTGTTTTTTTCCACTGTGCTAACTAGTCACACCTAAATTACGCCCTGAGTTACGTATTTAATTTGCCGAAGTTATTTGCTGTTATACGGCAGCAAGATTAAATTTTCCACGTCTGTGTGCCTTTGTGACTTCGTTCAATTATTCTTATAACAATTTCATGTGATTCATATTTCTGCATCGAAAAAGTACTTGTAACTGTAACGGTAATATAATGCCCCATATGTGTGACTGAAGATATGCATAAACCTTCAATTTCCTGTTTTTAAAAATTTGTGTAATACATTCTCCAATTTAAGTTCTTTAAAATCCATAAAGAAATATTTGAAACTATTTACTAACACAAAAATCAAAAATCAGAAACACATATCGATAGCCATTGACAAAACCTATTTCTGGTAATTTGTATAGTAATATTAATAGATCAAAAGTTATAACACACTTACGTATATATGTGAGTACATAAAATTGATTTTTAAAATAAAATTTTTTAATAATATTTATTATAAAAAGCGAGGTTTATTACCATTGTTCACTAAGCATGCCAAACACTTCAAACGAATCTAATGGGCTAATATGGCTTGAAAACGCTATTTCAGCCCGACTTATCAATTATTTTGAC